AAAAAAATATATATATATATATATATAAAATATAAAAGTACAAAAAAATTATAAAAATTAACGATGTTTAAGTTTTAATTTCTCATACTATCCCTAAGCTTTCTAGAGCCTGTGGCTCCCTCTATTGAGCATCAAGTAACTTACTTATGCAGATTTTTCCTATTTCTGCTCACTTTTAGTAATTCTGATGTGGAGGTACATGGTTTTGAACCATAGGCACTCCGGAATTTTTAAATCATTGGCATTGGAAATCAATCGAGCAGGAGAACAGCGCGGGAAAGTTATAGACACATCCACACATGCGCAAATTTAGAATCTCTCGTCGGCCGCGGCTTACACGCCGTTCTCGCAAGTGTGAACGGAATTCCCGTATTTTATGCCTTTATGACTACGCCTCTATGTCCGCTGCCGTCTGAACGCAGCCTAAATCTACTTATGCCACATGCATATTTATGCGAAGCTGTAACGAAAATTAAGTTAGATGTTAACTCATCTCAGCTCGATTTAGAGTGACATCTATCAAAAGAATTTCCTTAACACGACTAGAGCTGTTAGCTTACACTGGAATAAAATCTTAGGACATGTTAGCATCCACAGGATCGCATGGAAATTTCTTTCGCCATCAGCTTCCTGTACGGAGGATAATGGGAGCGATTAATAGAATGTCCTGAAAAGAATTTCTCGCAAAGTTTTGGGACGATCAACTCTCAATCATGAAGAAAAGATAACAATTTTGTGCGAATGGGAAGCAATATTGAATAGTTGTCCATTGACATATGTCTTGGAAGATGTTGAAGATTTATTTCCGGTCAACATTCCACGTTTCTCCACGAGATTTCAGAAATTGGAATTCCTGACTTATATAATATAGATCCAAAAACTTTGAACAAAAAGTTTATTTACTAACAAAAACTTTTACAAGATCTACGTAAAAGATTTCGAATTGAATATCTCAGTCAATTAAGGCAAAATTATGAACATGTAAAAGTCTCATAATCTCTGAAAATAGGACATTTAGTTCTAGCGTCCGATGATAATAAGAAGCGAAAAGATTGGTTAGTGGCGAAAGTAACCAAGATTTTCAGATCTCGAAATGGACATATGCGATTACTTAAAATCAAAACCAAGCTTCAAGACATTTTACAACCAACCAAGCGCTTATATCCTGTACAGATAACATCCTCAGATGAACAATCCAAATTTAGAAATAAGATTGGTTAGTGGCGAAAGTAACCAAGATTTTCAAATCTCGAAATGGACATGTGCGATTACTTAAAATAAAACCCAAGCTTGGAGACATTTTACAACCAACCAAGCGCTTATATCCTTTAGAGATAACATCCTCAGATGAAGAATCCAAATTTAGAAATACGACAATCAGCTCTTCTGATAAGACGGTAACATACTCCGATCTTGATGTTCATAATGACTCGCCTCAAGATTTTACAGCGACATGATTCCATCGATAGATACAAAAAGGGAGGTTGAAAGGTGAAGCCTGTCCAAAGATTACAATTTTAAATTTGATTGGTCAACAAAGTTAAAGGCATGTTGAAACTTTTACCAACGGTTCAAATCACATGATCCGCGCATGTGCGTCGCCTCGAAACTGAACTTTATAGAAATAGTCATGGAAAAGATGTAATCCATAATTTTTCTTCTGTGTATTGTGTATATAATTAGTTAATGTGTTGTGTATTAAAATATTGTTACCTTAGAAGTACCTCCTTTTTGTGATGAGTAATGCTTTAATGAGTAGATGGTCTTCAATTTATAGAAAAATTTCAGATTTCCTTTTGGATTATATGAAAAATTTTACCTTTATTCTTAGAAGTCTTAGTTATCGATAATCTTTATTCTTGACATGTTTTCATACAATTTGGCATCCCCTGCCGCGACATGAGTGAATTAATTGAAGATAATATTGTTGATTTTATGTATTTTGAATTTGAAAGGCACAATGATTGAATTCTTAAGATTTTATATATTTTGATTCAATAAATATATCGGTAGAAGGTGATGGTGATGAAAAGATGTGGTTTGAAAACACCCATTATCAGAATTCTTAAGAGAATAGAATTAGAACTAAATGACTTCTGTTGATATAAATTTGCTAGAAGACACAGAACTGTTGAATGATGTCTTAAGTTTGTTCATATAGTTGACTTTGAAATCGAAAATGTTTTGAAACCTGAAGAATTAGATGAAGAGATTCAAAATACAGAAGAATATTGTGAAAGAACTCTGTTATCGAAATTTAGAGCGAAAAAACGGACTCAGTTGCCAACTCAAAACTTTACTGTTCATGATACAAACCCATCTCATTCTCCATTATCTGCTCAACACTAGAAAGTAACAGACGAGAACGCATTAAACTACCGAAAATATATTTCCAAAATTTTACGGTGATATCAGCCAATCGCAGCTAGGGGCAGATGGTCGCTCTTTAGCCACGCCACTGCAGAAGTACAAGAGAAAATCTTGTTATCCAGTAAGATGAGGGTCTTAATGCAATGTAAATATGATATATTCAAAGAATGTGCCGTCAAAATATGGTAGTTGAGAAATAGAAGAGTTTGAATAACTGGATTTTTAGGCTGACATTATTTTATCTACGAAGGACTATTCTGCCCTCAATTGCGTTCAGTTCATCAAAAACGTTTTTGATCGACAAAGTAGCTTTTGAACTACGTTTGTAAAAACCAATTTAAGTATTATTTGCATGTGGTAGCACTTTTCTTCACAAAATTGAAAGACAAAACATACGTGGGCATTCAGCATTGCTGCGTTTCTTTTTGTTTACATGTGCAAATTTTTGTTCCTTTATATTTTTCACGTTAATGAATTAAATTGAAGGGTAGCATAAAATCGGAAGTCTTATTTATATGTTGTTAACAGTTCAAAAATAGGGTAACTACATACCAGGATAACAGAAAAGAATGGTAGGGTACATTTAGCTGTCAAAAATTAGCAAACAATTGAATCTGAACGAGCTCAGAAAAGTAAAGGAAAAATGACTCATTGATGCCTAGATGAAGCAGTGGTAGGTTTTGAACAAAAATTTTCCAAAGAAAATCGCACATCAAGTTACTTTCTTATCAAGCTGCAGCAGTATGTATCATGAGAAACAATTTACATATAGAGGTTAAAGGAAGGTCGGCAACTGTGCATCCATCCATGCATATTAGGTACTGCCGGCCCTTACTATCTCCTAAATTTCCGCTCCGGATGGAAATGTCGAAAAGAAGCATCCATCTTCTACTACCACAACATTTTGAGACGATTTCAGCCGTATCAATGTATTTTGAATGTCTCCTTGTTGCTCAGACACTATATGCTTACAAACACCCATACCTTCTCCGGGAGAGTTTTGAACTGATCTTAATGTCACTCACTAACAGCTGCATTTATCTGGCAACAGCTATTAACAACAGGATACGGTACTGACAACTTCTGCCTAAAAGAAAGTCTTATTGACGCGAATTCAAAGATTGAAGCTTTTTATCCAAACCAAGCATTACCTTATATAAAAATTAAACGGGAAAGGATAATTTCATCAGATGAGTTCCCATTCACAATTTTGAGAATGTTGAAAGCATAATCATATTCCTCCAAACTGTGTAAAACAAAGGAAAACTTCCATCCATTGCATAATTGTAGGCGTCTTAAGCTTTCAACAATTTTTTCCCATATGATGGGATTACCAAAGTACAGTTGTACCCCGGAAGTGATAATTCCACCAGGTTTAAATATTGGTGAATGGGATGACTGTGCGAGGCTTTATATATTTATTTTTAACTAATAGTTAATTTTAAGTTCAAATACTTTTCTGCCACTCTCTTTTTCATCCACACTTTTCATGCCAGAATGTGAATGAGATAGCGAGCTTTTATTCAGATTAAGGGAGAAAGAGTTGCTATTTAAGCGAAGGTTTCGCAAGTTAATTTTAGAGCGTGTTCTGCCTACTTTCAATCTACATTACGCAGTGAATTATTAGCAATTTGATTCTATGGCATTGAGTACTTCTAGCCATTTGACTTGTCTTGGCAGTTTTCTACAAACCAGAGCCTTTTCTTCACATTATTTTATCCTGTGAGCTGTTAAGCTAATCTACTACATTTAATTTAGTTTAACATTATGAATTTAAGTCAAGCCAGAAGCACTGGATTGTGTAAACCCAAGTTGAGTCATTGTTACTTTTTTGTGTTCAAATAAAAGGGTTTGTTACTTTTTTGTGTTCAAATAAAAGGGTTTGTTACTTTTTTGTGTTCAAATAAAAGGGTCTTCATCTGACTTCTGTTTTGATTCACAAAAGTAGAAGATAATTCTAGAGTCTTTTTAAAGTTGACTTAAGAAAACAAGACTTTACAACTGCATATGGCTCTTCTTCATCTGTAATGTGAATACAAGTTACTTTGTTTTAAAATATCATCCATGAAAACATTTCTCTGTTTAGGCAGATAGCCCCGGTGTGTTTTGTCATAATCAAAAAAATCCAATTCACTTCAACATAACTTAGAAATTATACCATGAAAACTACTGCAGTTTGCATCATCTCATAGTCCGAGTACAGTTCAGATTCACATTTCTGAGGAAAGTAAAGTGCTCAGACTAAAATTCATAACAGTTTGAGAATCACTGTATCTAGCCCGATTCTTCTTGTGAGGTGCTGTATGCAAATTTTCAAGCTACTTGCTCCAAGGTTGTCCATAATGTACAAAAGTTTTGAATAAGTCCATTTACTGTTGTAGAATACTGAATACTCTTTTATTTTGTTTTTACTAAATTCTAAATCAAATACATGTGCTAATAATTAACCATTTATTACATGCAGTCTTCATCTATTTAATAATTTTTTAATATTAATAAATATATTTAATAATTTTAAATTTTATTTATTATGTTTATCTTTTATTTTATTTATTTATTATTATTATTATTTTTTTTTTACTGAAGCTTTTTTAAATGATAAAAAACAAAGCACACACAAAATAAAAGGATCTGTTTTGACTATCAAAGCCCACAATACAAAACAATATTGTTTATTGCATGAAATTTAGTCTATTTACAATGGAAAATGATATCCAATGACTGGCCTGCCAGTTCATACTATTTACAAAAACATAGGAAGCATAAATATAATACAATATTACTATTATATCCTAACAGTAAAACTAACATCAATGCAATTTTAATTAAAAATATAGAAATGTACTTTTTCCTTATTGACTTTGCTTTTAGTTTGAAGTTAAAGAAAAAGTATCACAAAATGAAGTTATGTTATTATAAGAAAAACAGATTCAACTTACAATTATTTGAATATATTTAAGTACAATTACTTTCATCTGGACACATATCCACATGTACATCCAACTCTAAGTTTATTGTATAAGCAAAAACTAAGAGAAATGGTGAGTCCTAGTAAATCTGAACTTGAGAATTAGTTAAGCAATTCTGAAATAGATATGACTGTTAACTGAAGTAAACTGAAAATGCATCTTCAATGAGCAATGTTTCAAAAAATCGCAAAATTTGACATTAAGATTGAAATTCCAGGAATCTTGTTAAAGGAAATCCATTCACTTCATTTGATGATTTTGAAAATGCAATTCAAGATTTCAAGAAAACACTAATTACACTGTAGTATTGATAGTTCATGCCATGGAATGGACATCATGCCTCCAATTTGGCCTAGAAAAAACTCATTTTCATCCCAGACACTTTCTTTAATTTGTCCTCGTCCATTCCCTAATTAAAATGTGATGCTTGATGATATTCTGCACAAGAATTTCAATACTTTTTAAAAGTGAAGCGATAAAATCATTTGTTGTTCTGTTACTGTCATGTTAAGGAAGAACTGATGCATCAAAATATACAGGTTTTAAATTACAACAGGTACATCATTTTATATATACAGTAATTTATATTTTTCTTTCCATTCACATTGCTTTTATTTATTTACTTGTTTTTTGCCTTAGAATTTCCTCGTCAGTTGTGTGCCATCAATGGACTAGAAGGTCTATGCTCATCTCCTAACATTTCACGCATTAATACTTTCAAATATATTTCTACCTGACATTCAAAATCATTAAAAGGAATATCAGTTTAACACTCTAAAGCTGCAGAACAGTTGGGATTTTGTGGGGATGAGAGAAGCTCAGATCGCGCCAGTTCTATGCTAAGAAGGACTAGCTAGTTTTCACTTGTTTTCTTAACTATCTTATATATGCTGTTTACTAGTGTTGGTAGATTGTAGGAAATTAAAATTTTTTCATGATTCTTTATGATCTCATTGAATTTAACTTTTAGTGCTGTATTTCAGCTTGTTTTCATGAAAATGCTCTCATATGATACAGAAAAAAGAGATGAAAATAAAATATTTAAACAAAGTACTTTACTGTACAGAATATAATTTTGCATATGTGCATTGTTTGCCTACTTTTAATTTGTCCAACGGGAGAATTTCAATTATATGCAGTATGCTACACAGCGTCAGCCACACTGCGATAGTACTCTTTAATGACTGGTTTGAAAATTCATTAATTAAAGATGTCAAATATTATTAAGAACAGCAAAATCTGAGCTTTAAAGTTCTAATTCTCGATAATATTGCAGGACACAGTATCGAACCCTCACAACATGAATCAAAATGCTGAGATTTTATTCCTTCCACCAAATACTACTTCCTTAATCCTACCACTGGAACAAATTAATCATTAAAACATTCAAAGTCTATTATGTATGGCATGTTTATATCTCTGCAAATAAAGCTCTAGACAAGGAAAGAACGACACACTAATGACATTTTGGAAACAATTTAACATACAACACTGTATAAAAGTATAAAAGTGATTACAGTTGCATGGGAACAAGTGAATTCATCAATAATGAATGCTTGATAGCATCACTGCTGGAGAAATTGTTAACAGTTTTAAAGGATTTCCATCAACTGAAAATGAAACCAAGGAAAATTGCAAAAACAATAGGCAGCAGAGGATATTCAGATATGGAAGAAGAAATCAATGAATTAGTTAAGAATGACAACTGTGAAATGACAAATAAAGAATTAAATGATCATATAATACTAGCTGATGGTGAAAGCAGCAATAGTGACAAACATAAGGAGCCTTTATTACATAAAAATTGTTTTAAAAGGCACAGGAGCCATCTGATTTCAAAATGGAGATTGATTAAACTGAAGAAAGAAGAGGACACTTCATGAAAGGTATTGAAAACTTTCTACTCCTTTACCACAAAACATTTAATGAGTTTCATCAAATATTGTCCCAAGCAAAAATCACTAGCTATTTAAAAAAATAAAAGCACACTGTATTTACTTACTAAGCAGTAACAAAAATCCTTTCGATTAACATTTGTTTCATTTCCCCCTTTTAACTGCTATATATTTAAGTTTATATAAATTGTACATACTTTCGTTAATTGAACTATATTTGAACTGTTTCTTCATAGATAATAAACTATGCAGAATGTGATTTTGCTGTATGTACAGCATGTTAATAATGTAATCTGTGCATGCAAGTAAACATACAGATAGAAATAGGCAGACACCAGAGTTTCACTATTGGTAATACAGGTACAGTTCCACCATACTAATCATGCAGCTCTGTCATAATTTTTATGTAGGACACCTCGAGAAATGGATTCTAGACACTACTATCCCTCTTCTCTTATAATTAAACCACTTGAGAGGACCTTCATCCTGCCAATATTTTTACCCCCTGCAGCCCCTTGTGGGGATGATTTGGGGAAAGAATGATTCAAATGGTTAAAGAGCTTACATGCAGAGTCTTCAGATTACCATCACTGGCTTATAGAAAACTGATTAGTATTTTTTGCAACTGTGAAGGTACGAAAAACTCACGACCACACAATATATATATCTGAGAACTCAAACGAGTTTAACACTCTGACACCTGCAATATTTATGCGTGAGATTTTTTAAGTGAATGTACCAGATTTAGATCATCTTGAATGCATAAATTTGAATAAAAGCAATAACTGAGAGATGCTTTGAGGGAAAGATTTAGAAATGAGTATCTCAGTCAACCATTACAAAGACAATCTAAGGTACGAAAACTTCAAGACATTAAAGAAAATTTTAATCTATGGCAAGACTAGTTCAGATCTGTCTAGAGAAAAATGGTGAAATTAGAGTTGTGCATGTCAAAACAATTTATAGCGAGATAGTTAAATTTACCCCAAAAGACTTATTTTTTTTTACTTGAAATACTGCCAGCTGAATCTACAAACAATGAACTTGCAAAAAACCAAAATAGTCTTGAAAAGTTAGCCCCAGATTCTCTTAGAAATTAAATTATGATAACTAAAAGTAGAATGAGAATTATACCTCCTTCCAGATATATGAAGTAAAGAGCTCTGTTAATGGTGAACTTAAATTGATTTTAGTTCTGATTAGAAACCCACTAATCAAACACTGGGAAGGATGGTGTATGTTTACGATGTTAATGTATTAGATGCAAAATCTGGTAACACTGAAAATATTGTAAAAGTTTAATTTTTAAGAACTGACATATTTTAGTAACAATAAAAATGTCAAAAATGTATTTGGTGTAATGTTTGTTTTGCTTTTTTAATGGAGAAAATAAATTATGTTTCTTTTCATTTTGGAGTGTTGATTAATGGGTAACTTACCAGAAACTTGAAGCATCTACACCTTCTCTGGGATTCAAGCCTGGGACCAACAATATGGCATCTAGCATCATTAACCACTGTACTGATCAGAGTGGATGGCTAAGATACAACAGCCTCACTTTTCGGCCCTCTCCTTTGTCATTCTCTCGGAAGAAAATTACATATTTGATTACATCTTGCATCTTCAATGACATCATTTTCCATAAGTCAGACACATTACATTCTGAATGATATTCACAGCTAAATCATAAGATTCACAATTCATGCACCATAATGAGTGACAGAAAGGATCAATGAAGAAGGAGGAGGTAGACATCATTATCTATTTTGCATTACCTTTTGCAGTGCATGTGGGGGAAATGGAAAGCACAAGCATCTTCTAGCACCTAACGACTTAAAATGTGTCTGCATTCTACGGTGAAAAGTATTTATTTTGGCATATTCTACCATTCTTTAAATTTTATTCCCTTAATTTTGAATTTCTTTGCATATATTTTGGATTAAGAAACAAATGCAACTTTATTAGACATTACAGCAGTATAGGTCTTATGTGATCATTAAACATCAAATTCTGTATGCAGCCATTAGAACATTTCTGTCACTTCAAATACACAAGAACTCTGGAAGGTTGGATTCCCTTGTCTTTGAGGAATTGAATTGATCAATATTTGTTTCTCAAAGTATCCTTGTGATTTTATGAAACTTAAAAACTTTCATATTTTTTCATTTTTAGTCTTAGTTCTCTAAATAGTGATCTAAATTACTTCAGGAAACTATATTAATGAATATTATATAAATACTGATTTTCTGAGCTTTCTCAAGTTATGATATATGACATTATTTACAAGACACACACACACAAAAAGACAAGTGGATATTTAGAGAAACATAAATGAAAGCACACATATTATTTAATTTTTTGAAGGGGAAGTAACGATTTATAACTCTTAAATGAGCAGAATACTATGTATATATCCGAGAGAATCCCTCACAAATATACTTCTCAAATAACACACAGAAAGAAAATAAATGAAACAGGTTAGTAATAAAATAAACATAAAATATTCAAATACTTTAAGCCTTTTCTTTGACTAATTAAGTATACTCAATATTATTTTGGGCCTTTTATAATGATGGAAAAAATATATATAATGCTTTCTTTCATAAACAAAAATCACTGATGGAAAATTTTAGAGATTATGCATTTGTACACATATCATCAAACACTTGCATTCAGTCACAGTCTAAAACTACACTCTGTAATTAAAATATTTGAAATGAAACAAACGAAAAATATACAATGTCTTCCTTCCCTTCAAGTAAAATGGAACATATCCATATATCACATAAGCTATATATAGGGCAAACATATGAACTTTTCAAAAGTGCATTATCAATACAAGACATATGGTTCAGTTTAAAGGTCAAGAACCGATGATATTCAGGAGCAACCAATCAATAAAGGATCTGTAACAAATATACCACTGATGAATATACTACTTTTCACATACCAAACAGTGTTTCCCTGTACAATGATGACTGAGATCCACACAGATTATCCAAGACAGTACAAACTGATCAAGGCAGTGGAGATCATATTTAACTCAATGCTGTTGTCTTGAAATATGAGTAGATGGTATGGTACATGATATAGATCCTAAAATAAATAATGTGCTATTGCCATGCCATTGTGGATTATGGGTTATTGGATTATGCTCCCTATCTTCAGTACCAAAATTATGAAAAGTAGCTCAATGCATGCAAAATGTACCATGTTTTCAGCTATACAGAGTTGACACAAAAACGAGTGTGATACCAAGATCCTGAGAACATGGACCTACATGATCTGTTAAAAAGCATGGCATATTAAAAACGGCATGAAAAGCTTTCTCATGCAATATATCTTTATTAAAGCCTGATACACATGAGGCAAAATGTTGCCCAATGACATGCAAGTTTTCTCCTCCTAATACTGCTTGTCAGTAATCATAACTATACAGGGCAAATACCATGTCTTACTAATAAGAAAAGTTTGCCAAACTTCAGCTTTATGTGAACAAAACAAACAAACAAAAAACAAAAAAAAAGACACTATTTTTTCTGAAATGAAAGAGTCAATACTATTGATTCTATAACTTCAAAAATAACAGTATCAGTTATACCAATTTTCTGGCAAAAACTGGTAATATTTTAAAATCTGGAAAGTTCCGCCCCCCTTAAAAAAAGTTCTACATCAATAATATAATTAAATTTAACAGGAATGAAAAAAAAATAGAATAGAAAAACAATCTAAAGAACTTCCTTAATGCTAATAAACAGCAATCTCTGGTTTATATAACAAATTAATTGTGCCAAGGATAAAATACATTTCTTACTAAAAGCTCTTATTGAAACAAATAAATCAGCTATCATGGTGCCAAATAAACGCTGTTTACTTATTCAGCAGGAGCTATAGAACCAACACTGTTCTTAAATCATTTAGATTATGTGATTCTAAAGAACCATGTTATTGAGTGAATTCATTTAAACTGGCAACAACTTGTCTCGGTTGTGCTAAATAACATTTTTGCCTGTGATGGAATGGAAAACATGTCTATATGCATGTTTTTACATGGAAATGGTTTAGTGATGATGGCAACTCTATCAGCCTAGTTTAAATAACATTAATGTCAACAAATACAAATGAAGCATAATATTTCCTCATGAAAATAGTATTTAAGCTGTTAAAAAAGATTATTACATCCTGCACCAGCCTAAAGACTCTTTTATGCATTGCGAAGAAGGTGCTCTGTTTCATTCAACAGAGTGCATTACTTACCAAGTCATTCAACACAGTGCATTGCTCACTAACCATTAGCACCCAGAAGCCTCCAGGGCTTCGCTTCAGAAGCTTTGAAGGCTTGGAGGTTTCTGGGTGATAATGGCTCGGTGATAAAGCTTTGGAGGCTTCTGATTGGTAATGGCTTAGTGACAGAGCTTTAGAGACTTCTGGATTTATGCTTTACTGAATCCCTCCAAAATGCTGCTGAGAGCAACACTAGATTCATAAATAAAGACTGATATCTAGGATGGAGCAGCATGGCTTGCATTTCTGCCAGCACAGGGAGCAGCTGATGTCTCACTAAGTTCCATGTTTTTCTTCAATGCACAACAACATGCTGCTACAGAATTATATCTACTTTGATCTCTAAATCTACTTCACAAAAATTTTACCAAATAAAAAAAATTAAATTTTATAAAAATTAATTTTTTTTTTGGTAAAATATTTGTGAAGTAGATTGTAGACAGAAGCATAAAAAATTGTGCTAAATTTTAGCACAATTTTTATAACTTTACATAACTACAGAATTCAATATTAAATTTACAGTGTCATTTTCTGTTAATGCATAAAATTTCTGAAGCTGAAACTTGTGTATTCCGCTTAGAATTTACTTAATAAGAAATTGTCAAAAGTTAAAAGAGTAGTAAGATTAATGATTATCAAAGAAGCAGTTTAGACAATAAAAAGGTTTTTTTGGGCAGTCGTCACAATACGTAGTTACTCTTCTTGCTAACCTCTGTGCTTCAGCTGAGGACTGATCCACACGGAGACGTCTATAACAACCCACACAACGTCGTCTTATCCTTTTAATTTTTTCGTTTTCACCACTAATCCTAGCTCTCATCAAACGATGGAGAGTTTTCGCAGAAGGTGAACTGCATGTTGGAAAATGGCCTGAAATATACATAAAATAACACTTAATAACACTTTCTACATGCCATCTTACTAGATTTAAACTGATGATCTAATATCCAGAAAAATCCCAAATCCGGAATCGCGGAAGTTCCGACGAGTCCAGATCTTGGACTTTGTACTATATAAGAAAAATAATAAATCAGGCCATCAAAGCAGTTTGTAGAGAAGATGGGCCTATATTAAGAGGTTTTTCGGAGGAACTTTATTAAGAGGTTTTTTGGAATATACTGAACACAATAAAAAATACTGGTCATTTGTGGGCTCAAACAAGACTTTTAAGTTCTAATAATAATTATGTTCACAAAGGTTGTGTGATTTTATATATTTTGAAGAAACTTTGGAAATATCACAGATAAAATAGTTAGCTTAATGAATGAACTTAAAACATGCATGGCAACAATGGAGATATTAACAAGTTAATTGAATTTCACTCAGTATCTCAGCCAAATGAATATTTAATTCAGCAAAATGAGTTAAATGCAGTATGCAATGAAAGAGAGGAAGAAGAAGAATCTGATAAAACTGTCAACCCTTTGACAATCATAAATATGAATGAAGCCTTAGCATTTTGGGAAATTTTTGACTATCATGGAAGAAAGTGGTTGCAATGGAGAACATACATCTAAATCACATAGGGCAACTGAAAAAGATACAGTATGTGATAGAACCCTTTATCATTAAAAAAAAAAGGTGGTATTCAACTAATTTTTGACATATTTATAAAGAAAACACATCAATAATTATGCATATTCATGAAAAAATATATTTAAATACAATTTACGCTTTTAACATCCATCTACTTTCAAACATTCAACATTCGCACACATTTTCAGGAACTAATTATGTGTGAAAATGAAAGGCTGTCAGTATAATTAAGTAATCAAAGTGTATTTAAAGAAATTGAGATATTTCAGGGAATGCACTGATACAACTTTCTATCTTAATGCAAATGCGACAGGTGTTTAAAAGTACAATAGGCAAATGTGATAGATACTTTTATCTCTTCCCATTAAAAAAAAAAAAAAAAAAAACTTTCCTTAATGAGGAACTTTAATTTTGTGAAAGCAGAAATAATCACAAAAGACAAATCTAAAGAACATACAGAATGACTCACTATGCAAACTTCTTTTAAGTAATTATTCTTACAATAAAACAATACATAATATAAACATTTTTTTTTTTTTTTTTGCCATAAACTAGTAACTAAAAAAATGCACAAATTAAAGGGAAACGAACTTCAAAAATTTACAATGCATAGCAGAACTAAAAATATATAAAGAAAATTTATACTTACTATCTGAAGCATTTTGGTCTAAGATAACTACTGAAGTTAAGGGGTTTGAAGGAATTATAGGCACAGGAACTAAATCTGAACTTGTAATATTATGTATCAGTGGTTCAGTTGATTTGGCAGAAGGTTTAGATATTTCAGACTGTAATAAATATAAAAATAATTGCTATGTTAGGCACAATAAACTATTAAAAACTCTCTGTATCATAAAACTCAAGTCACAATCAATTTTCCTTCTCATGCTAAAATTATTATATAACATTTTTTCAGTTTACAAAATCTTTACTACCATTTTCCCCTAACAACTGAGAACAGACAATAGAGTGCAAGTTAATTGGGAGAAAGTGATTTTTTCACACAATTTTAAGTTGGTTGCTAGCCGGCAATAGCAGGTCCCTCTCTATAATGTCTGGATGTCTGCTTTTGACTATCTAGAATTGGTTTAGATAATAAATTAGGATTGTTGCACCATTTTTAAACTTGTTTCTGGGAGAAGATAAAGTTACTTTTGAATGCTTTTTAAATAGATGTTGCATTTGTTCATTTGAGTGTACTAAAAATAGATACAATGCCAGGGATTTTCAGCAAGAAACTTTTGTCAGATGACGACATCATCGGAGCTGTTGCTGATGTAGTTTACAAAGAATCCGACAATGATGAGCCACTTCCATCATATCACATACAGATGGAACAAAAGCATTGGAAAGGCTTTATGCTAAGTGGAACAACATGCATCAGCTTCCTTTATTCATATGATTCATTCTATTCATATTAAAGAAATGATGAAATTAAGCAGCGAGTCTCCAAATTCCCAGCCTTCAGGAGAACCGAATTTCTTAAACATTCCTACTAATGATATGTAAAATTTTTGTAACAAATTGATACATTTAATAAATACTTACTATAAAAATATCCATTTCCATCAATTAAATAATTTTCTTTTCATTCACCACTTTAACCAAAATTTTGCTTAACTAGCTTAACCCCATTCCCATTTAGGTCAGTTAAGAGGGAGTCTTCTATATTTACCAAATAATAGTGTCATAACGGAAATACCAAATCACTGATATCATGCTAAAAGTATTTTTCCCCCACTCCAATCTGCCTCAAGGTAAAGAAGCAGACGACATCACTCAACTTCTCTTTCTAATTCACGATTCCTGTGGTTGTATTCCCTGAGCTTTGTTATTTCACGAGATTGTTTAGCACTGTCATTTTGTTGTTTTGTCCAGATTTTTTTAGATAAAAATATTTTTAATTTCAGTGCTTCTTAATACAATGGGAGGTATGAAACAAGCTCATGATTTTACTGCTTACAGTGTTGAAAAATGTGAACATGTTGCATTGAAGGTAATGCAAAAAGTGAAAATTTTGCAAAAGATGGAGGTAGATGCTACTCGATATATAACAGAATTGTATGGAACTGCGATATGGATCATATTTGATATACAGAAAAATTATGAAAAGCTGTTGAAATTTTACAGCAATAGTGATTTTAACACCAGAAATATTTGCATGAGGCGAAATTGTCAAATCTTGATGTTGTCTTGTACGAGTGGTTCCATCAGTGACCAAGTGATGGGATACCAATTTCAGGAGTGCTCCCAAGAGAAAAGGGAAATAACATTACCTCTAATTTAAAAACAGAAGCTGTTATTTTAGTCATGAGCCCTGACACATCTGCTTTGCTTTACGATTAGAAAAACTAAGCTTATCCACATTTAGGCATTTTCGCTGGAATTTGCATTATGCATAAATGGAGAAAAAGATCAAATTTGACAACTTTGGCATCATAATATAAATTAATTGCCACTGCAATCATATGAAGTCGAGATTTTAGGATGCAAATAAGCCATATTTTTTATCCCCCTCAGAGTTTATAGTGCGATCATAGGGTCCATGGAATCTACCAAACACTGAAAGTGATGCTATTAGTTTCTTACCAGACTATTACCTATATATTGCCAAGTAGCTATGCTAATATGCACAAAATGAAGTTTTATTCAAGTTTATAGAAGAGCATGTGGCAATGTTCGAAAGACTTAAAACTGGAAGGAATGCGAATAGGCATCTGGTTTGCAGCAAGTAGTTGGCCATTTGTTACTGCCATGAGTTTCATCTACTGCTGGTCTGAAGTAATGTCATCTATAAAATTTTGCATATAAGAATTCATTATGGCTGATACTACTGTTACAGACTAGAACAAATATTTGGGAGAAATATGTGTCTATGAGATGCAGAGTCATAAAATTAAAAAAATAGGTTGTCAAGGCTTAACTGCAGAGACTATGAAACCCTGTTCTTGAGAAGAAAAATAATGTTGGCCGCGTTCTGCTGCCTTGATGGAATTTAGGTGGTGTTTAACAAGAAACTACAGAAATCTTTCTTGTTACAGTTCCTGAATGAAATGCCATGACTTCATTCAATGCAATTAAATAAAATATCAAAAAAGGAACGACCATTTATTCCGACTTATAAAGCAAAGAATTACTAAAAGCCAGTTTCAATCTTTTCAATTTTCCACCACAGATTTAATTTTGTGGATTCACATTCTGAAGTTCATACACAAAATATTGAGTGGGAATGGGGTTATTAAAAATGGCAAAATAAACAAAAAATATAGGAGTACGGCAAGACACCATTTGAAATCATACTTAGCAAAGTTAAAGTGTAGAGAGCAGCAGAAAGTCATAGTTCAGGGTAAAAAATTCCTTGAAGCTATTTTATAAGTGACTGCCAAACATTTTTCACCCGAAATTTAAAAGGGGGGGACACCATTTGTATTAAAATTATTGCCAAAGTTAGCCAATCCTTCTTCACTAACATATAAACAATGAAGTTTCAATACTAATTATTTTGCTTATTAAATGTGACACTTTTTTTAATTTATGTGAGTATTATTTACTGATATAAATTATTACTAAATTTTTTTTAAATACCTGTTCAGATGCTGAGTTCATCTGCACTATCCTGAATGATCTTCCATTATAGTCATGATCAGGAACTGGATCGACTTCAAGTTCTGGTATAGAAATTTCAGACAACGGCACAGAAACTGATTTTAGTGGAGAATTTACAAGCCTTTTTGTAGTTCTAGGCAGAATTATAACACCACTTGGTAATAAAGTATTTGAATTACTAATGTTTGCTGATGCACTTGTTTGGCTCACAGTTGGTTCACCACTTACCAAATGTGGTACTTCTTTAACATTGGAAACAATTTCATTATCAACTGATGCAGAATCAGACACTTTATTTTGCACGCATATTCTTTTCTGTCTTGATGCCATAGATCCAGTTGTAGAACTCAAAGCAGTAAATGGATTGTGAGTCTCTTGAAAACCTACATCTTGAATAATTTCTACAAGACCTTTCACATCTAACGTCTTGGTCGTTTTCAGAACATCTTCTAATTGGTCATAGGTTACATAAATTTCCCCTTTGTACATGAAGTCGATGATATCTTTAAGAATGCTGTATTTTACATTGTGCATTACAATGATAGGATGTTTGCATGGATTTGTTGTAAATAAGTTATGGAAAAACTTACTTCCTGCAGAAAGAATGACTTTATGGGCTTTAATTAATTGTCCTTCACAAGCTAGAGTAACATCAACAAAGTTCTCCATTGATCTAAGGTTTTCAAGTACATTTAATGTACTTGAAGCATGATTCTTCAATTTAAAACAAAAGTGAGACATTATGATATGCCAAAAAACTTCGAGGTTTCCACAGAATCTGAAATTGAGAACAGAATATAATTAAATATTATAAAGTGAATATTTATTAATTATTAATACAATAGATGCCACTTAATGTGACTGCAATTAATGTTATTCGATTCTTATCGAATAGCGAAAGTCACATCCGTTTGCATGTGAAAAAATGGAAAATACATTGCTTATTGTGATCAAGTCAATTAATGCTATCGAAATATTAAAGAATAATTTTTTTAACTGAAGCAAAGCTGTCCATTAAAAAATGAAACACCCACACAACAGCTGCCATATTACACAACAGTTGCCATATTACTATCTAAATTTTTTGTCTACATTTCAAACTTTAAACCTAAAATGTCTCCAAAAGCACGGTTTTCACACATGCAAAAACCCTGTTTTGAACACACAACAGCTCAAAATCCGAAAGAAAAACAAAAAATTTAGATAGCAAAACGTAAAGTTTCTAACAAAAAATATTTGACAAGAATCCATGTACAATGCATCCTGTTTAAACTTTAAAAAAAATCTACGAATTGCACAATCTAGACACTATGCACTAATAATAATAATAAAAAAAAAAAAAAAAAAAAAAAAAACTAAAATAAATTTCGAACAATTCAAAAAAACAATAATAACGACAAATTCATACTAAAAAAAACAATAACCATAACATTCTACAAAATAAGAACAAGAATAAAATAAAATGCACTTATAATGAATTAATGCTTTTTAGAAAAGCAGAAATACCAATTTCATACCGCCTTTAACCCGCGAGCCAAAATTACGAACACGAGAAGGCGGTGGGTATGTCATACCCGAAAGCAATTAACACGTTTTAAATTACATTAATAATATCAATATGAGTATAAATGTGGATTAACATAAAAAACAATGAACTTTAGAATATTTTAAAGAATAAAATAAATGAAGTACTTAACATACAATTATTTTGCACATCTCGGGCACACTGAACACATATGCTCTATACAAATACTGATATTACATTTCTTGCACAGAAACCGTGTCTTTCTGTCCTTGTTTTTAGGGCACTCAGCGCATCTTCTGTAAATGTTTTTCATCTTTTTAGATGGTGTTTCTATGTTGCAATCTCTTGAAAGTATTTTTCTTTTAGTTTCAAAGGGAGCATGATTTGCTACCGCCGTTGATTTGAGTAATCTTCCACTTTCGAATAACTAGTATTTCCTAGAATTTTAAAGATAATGCTTTTAGAACTAGTCCCAACATTCGTTTGGAATTTGTTTTTCTTCCATACCAAGCCATTTTTACCAACATAATTTTCATCATTTCATTGATTTTCTAATTCATTATCTAATTCAGTGTCTGTATCACTGTCTATTGATGAATTATAAATGCTGTTGTGTTCTTCATCTATTAATTCTTCCTCCTCTTCTCTAAACGTTTCATCATCTGTTGAAATGGTTTCTAGCATATTTCTGAACCTCTTCCATTTCTTTATCATAACTTATATGCTACGCCATGCTGACTAACTAAGAAAGTGAGGGTGAAAATCTGAGAGACGCGAGAAGGCGCGCGGGTGTCACATACCCAAACGGTACAATTCCTACAAAAGTATTCAAAGAATCACTCCACGAATTTTCCAGCTTCATGAATGTGATCTTGAATTCAGCTACAAAAGGTTTCGCCCATTTCCAGGAAAACAGTTTTGAGATAAGGGACATAGAATATGCCCCTGGGTATCAGATACCTGGCGCGCGTGCTCGCAGGTTAACATGCCGCTACATAATCACTATCGTATTTATATAACAGCCAGACACATTATCCAGAAAATTCAACTATGGTTCACAAATAAATAAAATCACAAATCCCTACTTCTGTCATGCACAGCCACTAAAACTAATCTCCCAGACCCTCTTTCCACACCTCCAAATACTCACTGCCCCTCAACAGGATGGCCACAATGATATTTCCTTTTGCCGAACTTTAATTCAACAACTTCCACCACTTTATCTCCCCCCCCCATCTTCTCAGACACAGAGCATGATGCGAACGAATGAGCTCCAATGGAAGATTTTTCAAAATCAACAGGGTTGCCATACAACACGCAATCACACCTAAAACCAGCGCAGAACACAATATCGCCACATTTGATGAAATTAGGATGTATATCAGAGTCGTACCCTGAACATTATTAGGTAAAAATTACGCAATGAGAATTGTATCAAGTGGAAATACAGTCAAAAGTCGTTAATCCGGACTCGTCGCGACTTCGGCGATTCCAGATTATAGATCATCAGTTTAAATCAGGTAAGATGGCATGCAGAAATTCTAAAATTAAAAATATGAAACCGTAATTTATGAAATAAAGAACAATTATAATCTAAAGGGTATCAAAATTTACAAAAAAAAAAAAAAAAAAAAAAAGCTTAATATTTATTTGTTTACTTTATTAAACATTTCTTTCAATGTAAGTTGTTTAAGTTGCTTCGTTTTATGTGATAATACTTTCTCTTTAATTCTATAAACAGACATAATTTCTTGTTCAGTTACAAAGTTCCGCTGTTCAAGCCCTATAATTGCTGTGTCGAAAATACCGACTAATTTGTCAATTGAAATTTTTTCGTTTTCAATAACCTCTGTGTCACTTTCTTCACTATCGGAAGCGAATTATAATGACGAGAAATTTGATTTAAATCATATCAAAGACGGAGTACATCGAGATGAAATACTACATTTAGTAAGGAATTATAAGCCAAATAAAATAAAAACATCTGTCCTGAAGATAAGGATAGTGCTGACAGATGAACTTCCAATTCATTACGCGCCCCGGTGTTCCCCCCTCCCCCCCGGCCGCAGAGCAGCGTGAAATTGATAAACAGATTTCGGAATGGTTAGAGAAACAAAGGATATGCCTTTATCCATTTTTTGCAGCAATTTCACTTTCTGTTTAATGGACTTTGAAACATACTTTCGCTTTGTAGATCCTTTACATATTAGTAAATATTTATCGGAAATTCTATTTGACATAATCGAAAGTTCAAGCTTACTTTTATAAAATTGCTCTAACAGTCTGCAAAAAATAATAAGCCAGATCCAATTCGAAGATTAAGGAACAACGCAATCTGCAACATTAACTGAATTAGATAATTTTAGCTTAGCTCATACCGTCCGTTATACATTAAACCCGCATGCGCACACGCATATTCACAGCAGTAAAGGTCTTAGGCGCATGCGTCAACGCGACGCATGTGCAGAAAGTTTGCAGCTTTGAGGTCCGGATTATGGGTGTCCAAATTAACGACTTTTGACTGTAATTAAGTTATCAAATAAAAAAAATCAATTCTCGTTTCTTCCATCTACTCCCTTAATCCAAGGCTTGATGAGGAGGGAATTCTTTGGTTGAAAGGTCGCATTCAATTTGCAGACTGCCACGAGAATTTAAAACGCCCTATTATATTACCCTCTACATGCAAGTTCACCGAGTTGATCAACATGGACTCTCATGAAAAGGTATTCCATGCTGGAGTTAATTCGACACTAACTCAGATCAGAGCCAAATATTTGATCATTATGGAAGGCAGCGCATTAAGATTATCGTCAGCAAATGTGTGATATGCAGACGATATAGTGATCGTCCTGGGGTACAGGATATCACTCCACTTCCTCCAGACAGAATCCAAGAGTCACCTCCATTTGCCATGACCGGGTTGGACTTCACCAGCCATTTTTTACAAAAGACAGGCAAGGTTAAGTTTAAATGTTGTTGTTAACATGTGCGGTCACTCGTGCCTTACATATAGAGATAGTAACTGATCTCAGCACTGAAAGTTTTTTACTAGCTTTCCAAAGATTTTTAGCTCACCGAGGACAGTGTACCTCAGTGATAATGGCAAGACTTTTAAAAGAGCTGACAAAGTACTAAAACATATTTTCAAAACTTTGAGTGACTCATCTGTGAAAGAATTATTTTCTGCTAGAGGCATAAAATGGAAATTTATTATTGAGAGGGGTACATGGAAGGGTTTTGGGAGCGTATGGTACAAACCATAAAATCCAGTTTACGCAAAATTATTGATCGATCATCCCTTACTGTGAAAGAGCTTGAAACAGTGCTCATTGAAATCGAGGGAATGATTAATTGTAGACCAATTACCTACGTGTTTACCGATTCCAATGAACCTTCTCCACTAACAACATCTCGTTTTCTGGTTGGTAGACAATTACTATCTCTGCCTGCTAATCAAATAACATCAACTTATTCGATTGGATCAAGAAATTCAATTATTAAATGATATAAATACCATCAAGATATTTTAAACCATTTTTGGAAGTGTTGGAGAATGGAGTACCTTTTTAATCTGAGATCTGCCAATATTTGTCCTCCACACTCAAACGCATCTCAGTTTAAAATCAACGATATTGTCTTGATTCATAACGATAAACATCCCAGAAATTTCTGGACAATAGGTAAAATTTTGGAATGAATGCATGGCAGAGATGGTAAAATAAGATCTTGCATAATTAAAACACCTACTGGTACCTTAAAAAGGCCTAAAAGACAATTGTTATATAATATGGAACTTAACTAATGTTTGTATTTTGTATTTCTAAGTTTGATTCTCCCGACTTCGCTGATAGGTACCATTTAATGTTTTGTAAAATTTATGTGCTTATAACTACGTATGCATGTTTGTTATATTTAACCATTTCTCCAGGATTGATTGTCGAAATATTAATTGAATATTCTAGAATATATTATTGAAAGATAAACTTTTCACCGATTTCAGGTAGGGAGTGTTGAATAATTTGAAAGGAAAAAAGGCTACAGTGTGCTGGTGCTCGCACTGTTGGGAGAGAATAAAGTTTGTTTATGTTGAAAGGGGCGGCCTAAAAATACGCTCTGTATATAGTGAAGTAAAATATTGTTAAAAATGTAAAAGTGTTAAAACTTTGTGAATCACAGTCATCTGATTTAGAAATGCACAATTATTAAAAGCCATTAGCATTGGACCCGTCAATAGCACGCCCTCGCTGCGACGC